CTTGGTTGTTAGATTACCATTTGTGTCTTTTTCAAGTAAAATATCCAAGTATGAAGCAGATCTGTTGGACTCTGTGGTATCTTTTATCTCAAGCTCACCAGGATATATCGTGTCGACGTAGGAATGGAAATTATCATTATTAATTGACAATACGTCGTCGATATATCTAAATGTCGAGTTGAAGGCCACAGCAAGTGTTTTTTTCTTTTCACGCAAAAGATTTTGCATAAATTCTGCTTCATATGAATATAAAAATAAGTCTGCTAATAACGGAGCGCAATTTGTACCCATGGGAATTCCAATAGATTGTTGGAATACCTGGTCTCCAAAAACCACATAGATATTGTCAATCAGAAACTCAAGCATCTTCTTGATGTCAACTTCAGAGTACTTATGTGTACAATCAGAATCTGAAGTTTAAAAAAATGCGGACGTCAAAAGAACTTGCAGACTTAAATTTTAACATTAATATTTAACAAGCATAATCATATGAAATTATTATAAAACTTTGCATAACATTGTTTTTTCTTAATAATTAATTGAACAGTCCATATATTCCGTGGATGGTTATTGTTCTATTATGTAAGGACTCCAGTAATTCATCTAGGCAGACAGATTCATTGGATACGGACTTTACTGGTGAGTACGCTTGGTATTTATTTGCTTGTTTAATTTTGAAAATTGGAGTTTTGGTTGATTTCGGGTGGCTCTCAAATGGCAAGACATATTTCTTTGTGGTATCTCCGCTATTTCCCTTGGATTTGTATGAAATGCGAATATTAAGGATTCTCCGTATTCTATTTGGGGATGGTCCTTCATAATGTGTCTTTTAACAACATCTTTGCGGCAGTATGATTTTTTGCATATTCGCAGTAATAACTGATGATCGTTGGGTTGTGGATAAGTTTGTAGTGTCTTTTTAAATTACTTAAATCCTTGAATTTGCGTTCACATTTTTTGCAGCTAATGTAGACTTTCTTTAGTTGCGGATTATTTGGGTTATCTGGGTTCATTGTTTTGTATTTTATAGTAACTGTAGACCATATATCAAGTACTCATAACGGACATGTTTTATTTTTCCACACGTTTATGATAAAATTATAGCGTGTAGAATGAATTTTAGTCGCCTGCAAAACAGATCTAGAGCAATACTACAGGATCACTTTACCCGGAGTCTGTCCGTCTGTTTCACCCAAAATGTTTAGAACAGAGGCACAGATTTCATATTTCGCAAAGAAATACTTGACACCCTTGCTTTTGTAAAATGCAATGGTTACCGACCTTTTAACCTTTGTCACTTTCCTTACCTAGATAATTGCGCCCTTCAAAAGATAATTCTAAACTTCATGTATTTCGCATGTGCATTTTCTCATATAACTTTATGAAAAATACATTCACAGTACCTGACCTTTAAGCTACTGTATAAATACAGAGGACGATTTATACAAAAATGATCGAATCCCATGACATGGCATGCCTGTAGACAAAAAGTGTGCTAGATTTCAAGCATACGCAATGCGAAGTAGCGACAGAGAAAAATTTGGTACGGAGAAACGCCCGCATAAAAGTATTGAAAGAACTGAAAACCGGGCTTTAATTGCTTGAGTATATTATCTGATCCGAAATTAGTACATATTCAATTCTTTTCCTTTTGGCCATCGATTTTTAACAGGTAGAGTTTGTATGATTATGATGTAAAACAATATCTCATATACCAGAAATTAAAATTAATAGTCCAGACTCAAGATATGTTATAATTTTAATAACATACTATTCCCAAGAAATTCTCGCATATTTTCTATTCAATAAGCATTATTTTTCTAATAATTTAAAAATTCAGTCTTGGAATAGTTCAGATAATGCACATGTGCATTTTTGGGACATTCTTTTAGATTCAAACAAACAGTACTTTTATCGCCAACTACATGTAGAAACACTGATACATGTACATTGTCAAGCGACTTCACGCATGTTAATTCTTAAAATTCCAATTCACTATACTATTAATTTGCTGAAAATAAAAACAGAATATAACCACTAACATAACATCGACGAAAACGATATGAAACATGAAATTCTTCAACAATTTCACTATTTCGAAAAGCCCGCACTACAGAAAATAGTTCGCTTACAATATGCATTCAGCAGTGTACAGTATGTTCACATATTGTTATATCACGACTATCCCAATACAGAAAATATCTGATTGTCATCTCCCTCGGGAGATGACACATTAAGATTGTATGCCGGAAGTGAAGTCCTAGTGTAAGCCTCCATTAATCTTTCGGGAGTCCTCGATGTTTTACAGAGTTCCAAGTAGCCTGTAAACTGGTTTTCTTTTAGAAGAACTAGCTTAGGAGTGTGTGATCTACTTTCGGTTTAGGCCTATTTGAAAGCCAAGGAAAATTTAGAAAAGAAGTACGATACTTATAAATATCTATAGTTTCGGTGTGTCGTATATATATTGATCCTCAATACTATGCCTTATTAAATTGGTAAGCCACACAAGGAGAATTGACAATGACGTGATTTCTATATATAGATTTGTTGACGCGAAGGGAAAACTGGTTCTCGCACAAAAGTAGATTCTGCAAAAAATTAACGAGGAGTGGTCAACACTAATTTTATGTTAATTTTTTAGTCTGTAATTGGACTTATTAAACTAATTCCTGTCAAACTTTAATGATAAGCTCCTTTTAAATGAATGATAATTATTGTTGATAATTCCGTATTGTGTTAAGAAAATATAGTTCAAGGAAAGTATTATAATTTAAGTAAATTGTAAACACCCAGAAGCACAAAGACCGCTAGAAAATAGAATGAAATTTCACTAAAAATCGCCTTGGGTGCTCTCGCAGACGTCCATGCTTTTCATATATATATTGCGGCCACAAAAAAACTGCCTACTTTACGGAGTTTGCTGAATTTAAGTCATTTGGGAACTTCAAGTGTAATAATCCATATATATTCATTGCATTTAAATATTTCCCCTTCTGTTTTATTTCTTTGACATTATTGATACCAAAGAGATGACATTTCAGGCTTTCTGGAAATCCAAACTTGTTTCTCTTTCAGTTTAATTCTCAAGCAAAAATATTGATCATTAACTTTTCCAACGATTGGGATGTTAAAAATGTTTATTTGAATATCGTCTCGCAAAGGGACTATTTTGTTTATCGGAAGCGTCTGCTTTGACGCTGTTTGGTTTTTTGTTTACTGTGCTATTTATAGTAAGACAGTCGATCAAGATGCCAAAGCCAGGACTTTGCTTTCAACAAAGCCCGGCTAAAAATGAATCCCACCATATGACATGCCTAAACAAAAAGGGTTCTTAAATTTCAAGCATCTGTGATGGGTTGCTGAGAAGTTGTTACGGACAGACAGCCACGCAAGGGTAAAGCAGTTTACCCTTTTATTTGGGAGGTATGATTAAAACATCCAAAACATCTTCCGTAGATCTCGTGTTTAATCTGTGGATGATATAACCTTATAACCTACATGTATAATTGGGTTGTTTTTAAGCTGACTCGTTACACACCGATTGTAAGTCCCTTAATTGTTTCTGGTCTTGACTTCGTATTATTCCATCTACCTGCACTATACTTAGGAACTGGCGGGAGTGACAGGTCAAAGGGGGATCTTTAATACTCCTCAGCACCTTACACTTTACCTCTGCAATTTACAGAGGTCTGTTTTATGGCCTATTCATAGATTTGAATTATAAAATTAATAGATTTTTTGAGATCGATTTCTGTTCGTTATCTTCGCCTATTTCATTAAAACCCGAGGACCCTTGTCACGACATTATTTGATTTTAAAGAGTCCCAGTTCAAAATTCATGTGTAAATGCCAATTAAAGATATAATTTTTTGTAAATCTATTTTGCAGAAACTTATTATATTATAGGGAGGTATAAACTGAGACGAAACTTTTCTGTTTACCATGTCTTCACGTGCTACATGCAGTCACTTCCTAGCCACATTTCCGTGAATAATTTACCTTATCTCGCTGTAGTCTCGCTAAATCCCGCCAGAGCTACTACCTGAGCTACTTTTAATTCATCGGATTTCATAATCTGCGGAACACCGAAAAATATATATACTAGTATACAACGAAAGCACAGTCATGCGTTTTAGCAAGAAGTGTTTCCCTTTTTCTTTATTTTCATATTGATCACCGGACACTGTATTATAATAATAACTTTAGAAATGAACATTATGGAGGAAATAATTCTGTAGTCGTTATTACGATTTTTCATCTCCTCATAGTATAATCTCTTCTTTTAACTCGTTATAAGGATTTCTTTTCACGAATTTAACATATAAATATCTTTTTTATAGCCTTAATTTTAACTTGCAGGGCGTATACTGTGCAAACAAATGCACTTTAAGTTGCCGGTTTAGTGTACCTTTAATCTAACAATATTCTCAAATTTCTTTAAAACATTTTTAAAACTAAATTTAAATTAAAAAGGAAGAAAAATGTACCTGATAATTTTTAAATTATGACGATAAGCAAAACATATTGTGGAATGTACAATAAATGATTAATAATTAATAACTTGGGGTCTACGAAGGCCATCGGAAGGGGTTTTGCGTGAGGTACTTAGTACATGAGGGAAATACATTGTATTTCGAAAATATAATTTTTGACCCACCCACCCCCTCGAAAAAAAATCATGTGCAACTTGATCAAGAAAATGAACGGAAACTTTTGGTGGAGCGACAGACAGACAGAACGAATCACCATGTACCCACTTAAAACACAGCATTTGGGAAGGGTAAGCCCGTCAACAGAAACTATATGCTATGCAAATATCATGAACCAAGTTTTATATGTATATAACTAACCGGTATATACTAGTAAATCATGCAGAATATGCATGTGGTGAACAAGAACACTTTGATAATTACTTCAATTTCAAATAGAATACATACATTGTTTAGATTAACATGCATCTAAAAATGAAAAAAAAGAGATGACATTCTAATTCAGTGAACTGGTGATTGTAGTTGCCAGCAAGTCTCAATTAAGAGGGGTGAAGGAACATAAAGTATGTTTTTCTAATTACTCACGGTAAAGTAGAGAGTTGTCTATAAATATACCGCGGCTAGAAGACGGCGATCTGTCGTTCTGAACACAGTGTAAGAGATCGGGGAGTTAGACGTGATTGATTGCATGGGGATAATTCAGCGAATTTGAAATAAAACTTCATTACAGTATATGGCATGTAATCCAATACGGACTGATATTACTTGAGATATAGCGATATACCAGAGAAAAGGCTAAAGCACCCATGCATAGAAGCCGCCTATGATACGGCGATGAGGAAGATAATCTTACAGTAGGAGATTTACACTGGTCATACCACTCAGAGGAAGGGCTATCATTCTATTCGCTTCTTTTTCAACAACAGGATTTTATTTCTAACTGGAGCACTACACTGTATAAGCGAAAGACATGGTAAGTCCTCAGTTGGTATTTTTTTCATTTTACATATATATGTCTTATTTTCTATGAAATCTTGGGTTTTTTTCCTCTATGTGCGGATATCGCTTAACAGCAAGCTTGCAGTCATCACTATTGTATCCAGATGTTATGATCAGAGGATGAGTAAAAGAAAACGGCAAAGAATTCCCCCCAACTCAACATACAGTGTTATAACGCTCTAATTAACAAAGGACATTTTTTAAGTATACCTGTTGCCGAAGGTCACGTGTGTTATCAAAACATCCACCTACATAAAATTGTACAATCATTGTAGGCGATTAATCTCATAAATTGTGGGCGATAAATTTCATACTTGTTAAAGACAAAAAATAAACATTATTAAATACTATTTACATGTATTTAATAATGATAAGGAGAACAATGGATTGAAAAAAGTAAGGTTACAATTTCCATTCCAGTTATAAATTTGGGTTTCTTTTCTTCCTATTACATGTGCCAGAAATTGCATGGGAATAAATTCTTACAACAGATTATTTATTACATATTACTTCAAGACAAAGTGCGACTCATATATACATCTACATTCTGGTTATAACGCAATGTTTGACTGGATCAAAAAAACTACTTTATATCGTATAAATTGGGTTGGCTGCTTCACAATGGCGTTGTATAAATAAAAATACATATATAAATCCGGCTGACGTTATGTTTAAATTTTGTACAATTTACAGTAATTTTTAAAGGGCAATAATCTTGTTGTTTTACACTAAATGAATGATTTCTAAATTATAAGAGACAGATTCAATAATATTTCAGGTGCAGGTTTTTGGGGTTTGAATTTCAATTTTCTGACGGTCAAAAAATGCGGGGAAAATAACAAACAAACAAAAAAAACCAAAACAAAACAAAACAAAAAAACCAACTATATCTTGATGAAAAATGTCATCTTCGCTAGCCAAGGGTTTCCGATCCGAAATCGTTGTAGAGTAGATTAAGGATCGGAAACCCTTGGCTAGCGAAAAATGTAAGCTTTTAATATCTTTTCTTCGTATTTGATGAAATATACGGAAGTTATTATAGATAATGAAGATTTGCATGCGTGATGGCATCTGTGATGATACTAAGACGGTAAAGGGTGAAGAAATTTTGTCTGCGTTTTCCGTGATCTATTAACAGAAAGGGAAAGATTGCTTAACTTATCGTTCATTTTCTTATTATAAAAGTTACCACAAATGACACATCAAGGACGAATAACTATTTGTTTCAAAAAAATTAAAATCAGAGTATCAAAGAAATAGGGTTATAAATCTATGAGCTCGTAAATATGCATACGTCATTTTCGATATTATTATCTATAGTATCAAGTCCATTGCATTTCTTACACCTGATTACTTTATTGTCATGGGTATCGGTGTGGAATGGCGACCCGTGTTCGTGCTGGTTATCTTCCAGTACCTTTGTTTACATTTTATTGCAGTTATGTGTATCTGTGTTTGTTTGTATACTGCACTGACCTGTACAACTATTCTAAGTTTCTTCGGTATCTTACTTTCCTGCATTATAAGAATTACAGTTATTTTCGTCGCCACCTAGTGCTTTTTAATTAGCACAAGTCTACACCGGTGTCGACTGATTACATTGAAAAGAGACTAAGTCAGGCACTTTATATAGGGGTCCTCAAATATAGCGAGAGTCCGATTGAATATGACGGACACATTCTGTTCAGCTTTTAATACGCTAAGAACAGCTAGAACAATATTAATAATTTTTAAACACAATACTTAAGATTACAAATAATTCAGTATTGTAAAAAAAAACATAGAACATTAATCATCTTCTGTAGAGATTTGAGCTAGGGTAGAACTATCATAGATTTTTGCACTTACAGCTAACTCCACCATTTAAAGATGGAGGACTGCATATATTTTAGCTGACAGGTACTCTGCAATTTCGGTCAGCATTTATGTTAAAGATTTATGAGAGAGAAAAAATCCCACTTAATACCTATTTTGTTGTAGTACGTTTGAAGTATCTTCTCTTGTGATGGGTAAAACTAGTCTTTTTCATTAGTAGAACATATTTTGCTTTCCCTTGCAAAATACAAATGTAAGTTCTCAATGATGTTTAGAAATCCAATTTAGAAGTTCGAAGAAGGGAGGGCATATTGCTTTGCTGCTGTCGGTCCACTTAGATTCCGTTTATTTTCTTCACAACCGTTGTACATGCGGAAATGAAAAGTATACAGATTTATCAGATTAATATCTAGATCAAGTTTTGTTTTGGATACGATCGCGCCATTTTTGACAGAGTTATGCCCCTTGGACTTAGGAAAAATCCAATTATTTGCAGTTTCTGTTCATTTTCTCCGCAGAGGTTGCACATTCGGAAATGAAATTTAGTATACAGATTTATCAGATAAATATCTAGGTCAAGTTCTGTTTTTGGTACGATCGGGGTGTTGCTAAAACGCGGAACGGAACGGAAAACGGAAAATTTTTGTCAAACAAATAAAATAGATTAGATATAAATCACATAAAAGAGCAATATTCTTGTTGCAAAAATCATTTCTGATAAAAATTAATTGTAAACTATTATATATTCATGAGTCATACACACCCTCCATGAAAAAAATGGTACTGAAAGAAATTCGCCCCCCTCCCTCCCACACAAACGAAATAGGATTTTCGAGTTTGGGCAAAGGACACATGCCCCTTATTTTGGCTTGTCAAATTTGTTGTATGTTGGAATTTTTTTACTGACCCCCCCCCCCCACCCTCTTTCAATTTGTTTCCAGTGTCAATGTCTGTAGAAAGTACTTATGATATTCAGATTATACACGCAGTGTCAAATTCGCGAATCATGAAAGGGGGAGTGGCAGTTTCGGGTCTGTGTAGTACACAGCAACATTAAAAATTGATCTATTAAACCTTTTATATATGTTGGACACAAAAAGGGAGCATCCTATTACAACTTCTCAGACCTTTCCGTTGAGCGGGAGAACAAACTCATTTTTACGGGGTCATTCATATACACCCCCCTCCCAAACATACACAAAAAATTTAACTTCATTGAATGCAAAGATTCTGTCTTATATCTTATCTCTTATATCATGAAAGTTTTCCAACTTTGTCTATCCAGAATTTAAATATATAGAAAGCGACTCTCTTTTGAATAAAATTTTATTAACTAGTGTGTATAAGAGATGTTTATTCGAGCTTGCCGTAAAGGTTTGCCCTAAACATAATCTTAATAATTTTATTTTTACATTTTATTTCTCTTTTCATGGTTCATCTAGATATCAAATATCCCCCCCCCCCCCCCAGTCAAAACCTATTTACCACGGAAATGCATGTTCGGTCAAGTTGACATCTTCACACTTTTTGTGAATGTAACTAATGTAGTATCAGGGACCTATATGTATACTAAGTTAGTATATAGGTCCCTAGTAGTATTAAAGTTAGTGTAAAAAAATTGTACTGAAAGATGTTGGAGTTGAAACTTATCCCCTACCCGACTCAAACAATTGTTTTCTTTCTGTGTTTTATCCCCCCCCTCCCGAACCAAACAATTGTCTTCTTTTTGTGTTTTTGCTTGTCAAATTCTTTTCAAGTTCGTTTATCCCCCCTTTTCAAATTCGATTCTAGGTGACTGTTATGTTAGCAATTTCCGTAAATAAGAGACTGAGCATGAAAAAATCAACTTGTTTTTAATAGTGGTGGATTGAATATGTACAAAATAAATCATTTATGATAAAATCTGTGTATTTTAAGTGATTTAATCCAAAATAATACATTCCGTTTTCCGTTCCGTTCCGCTTTCCGTTCCGTTTTCCGTTCCGCGTTTTAGCAACACTCGTACGATCGCGCCATTTTTGACAGAGTTAAGCCCCTTGGATTTAGAAAAATTCCAATTATTTGCAGATCTGTTCATTTTCTTCAAAGAGGTTGCACACGCGGAAATAACATTTGGTATACAGATTTATCAAATGAATATCTAGGTCAAGTTCTGTTTTGGGTACGATCGCACCATTTTTGACAAATGGCTCTTGGATTTGGAAAAATTCCACTTTGGGGGAGGGGGGCATAAGTGTTTTACAAACATCTCTTGTTTTGTAGATATAGCCAATATTTTTGAGGCTTTTCCCTGGAAGAATAAAACTGTCAATTTATAAAGAATTTTAAAAAAAAAAACTTGTAACGGTAGGTAAAAGTAATATTAATCAAGTTCCCCGAAATATGGTTGGGTCAAAGCAGATGATTCGAGGTATTGTTAGAAAATCATTATTATATTTTGCAAATTATAAATGTGTTTAAGAACCTTAATGACTGCGTGGATTTACGATTATCTCGATAAAAATATCACCTTAATTGTTTACAAAATTTGGATTCGTGTTTTGATAAAAAAAAAAAACAACAACAACAAAAACACTGTAAAGTCCCTTCAATTTATTAGATATCGTTGTATTAAAGCAGAACACACTACGTTAAAGAAAAAGAGATATCGATGTCCGTCATATTAGTCTCTCCAAGACTATCCCTCTCCGACGCTAAATAAGCTACAGCTTTTATTGTGTATTTCACTCCCTGGGCCTCACCAGACAGGATGTCCTTCCTTTCCGTTGTGATGTACTTGGCCGTGACAAAATTTCTTCTGTTTAAAATGTAACCAAATATATTCGATATATCAGTTGATTCAAAGAGAAATAATTACAAATAAACGTTAAATGGAATGAAAGGTATGAAATAGAAGGAACAATGTATGATACTTGTACCACGCTGCAGCAACAAGGTAAAAGCAATCAGGTGTAACTATTGCGAAGGGTCTACATACCACAGTGTCGATAACGCGATAAGAAGTTTTTTTTTTTGTTTTTAATGTTTTAAGAGCGAAATATATAGTCTCTTGTTCGGTTAATCAAAGTCTGTTCAAAGTTCCTTTTTTATAAATACAAATGGCATAATACATGTACACTTCACCAATCGAACGTTTTCTTGTGGTTCCAGCTAAAGTACAAAACGTCTTTAATTTGTGAATTTGAGGTGAAAGGACTAGATAAATTTTTAATCCGTTATCTTATCTTAGCATTTTGTATTAGATTTATATTAGCATCTAATTCATAAACCAATAGAGCAGTAGTATCATCGGACATGTCTGTTTTAAGTTACGGTGCTTGTTTTTCGTGTCAAAAATACATGTATATTTTCTTATATTTATGAATATATTTAAGATAAAATATTTGGTTTTCATTTCAGTCGGTAAAAGATGTATCCGAGGAGACACTGAAAGGTATGACAATTTTATCTCATTTCCTTCTAATCATCGTGGGTGTTGAGCAATATAGGAAGGATTAACCATCATCAGGGTGTTAATAATATTTCATGCAGCCAAAAATGTTCATATTTCGAATTCATTTACCATCTGATTTGTTATCAGGACAATGATGAAAATATCATTATATTCTATATACATTTAACGTCGAAATTTTGATATCTTCGGGGTTTCTTCTGGATCTCGTCGAGTTCGAAATGACAAGGTTATTCATATGAGAGTTATAAACTCACAATATTCAAGAGTAGATGTTTAAAGAAGTCAGTGCATTTTTTTTTTTATATGAATGAAAATAAAAATATAGGAAATATAATACTGTTTAGTGGAGTTTCATGGCGATATGACATGAAGTTGGTAAGTGGTCAATTCGGGCGTTATATGAACACGTGACCATAGGTAAGAATATGTAGGAAAAGCCGATAGAAATTTGTACAGCAGTACAAATTCCGCTGTGGGCCATAAAGAAATTTGAAAGCATTTATAACTATAGTAAAACTATGAATTTATCATCAAAGATATATAAAAAGACGGTAACTGTACATGTCTTGAAATAATTATATTTAAAACCCCTTGGCCAGCGCAGATAGATGTTGACTGGTGATTTCATGTAATTGTTACGCCATTATTTGCAATCTGCATTGTCTGGATTTTTCTGTTTGCCCGATAGACAAGAAGTACACCGTGGGTGATACCGGTCGACAAGGCATGCTTTGTTCTCTATGGTATCTGAGCCCTCTAAAGTTTTTGAGATCTGACCATGATTTTTTGAATTGTTTGAATTTATTTAAAGGTCTTTTGAGCGTGATATTTATAACATTTTCTTATCTTGAATATGTTTGCATAAAAAATTAAAGATGTTGTCAATTGCTTTACTAGCCATGCATTATTTAAATGTAGATTGGAGGGAAGCATTTGGTATGTTTGATAAAAATGGAGACAATTTGATAAGCGCTGGTGAATTGGGCACAGTGATGAGAAATCTAGGACAAAATCCGACAGACGATGACGTCAGGAAGATGATCAGTGACGTCGACATAGACGGTGAGGAATGCTGGGAGTTTTGGTTTGTCAAACATCATTCGATAAAATTTGATTCAACTGGACTTCATTCCAATTTATTTTGAAGTCTTGAAAAAAAAGAAACAACCTCTATTGATGTTTGTTATCTCATTTGGCATGCATATGACAGCCTAATTAAAATTTAAGAAAACAATAGATGAAGAGCTTGAATATAATTGTTAGTCCAATAAAGTTGAAAAAAATATTTCCTTTCAACAAATTAAATTAAACCCAGGACAAACATTTATAATTCTTAAAAATCTTAAAAATTTGAAACATTGATGTTGTTTTGACGTCACAAAGATGGACGCCTTGCGAGTAAAACGTCAAAGCTGTAAACTCTTCAACTAATTAATTGCATCTTAATCTAGCGATAACGGATTTTAAAATATAAATCACATTTGCAGATAGCCAGTCACCAGTTGCAATATGAGACGTACATGTAATTTTGTTTTTAAAATAGTAATTCATATCTTCCAAAACTGTAGCGTTTTTAGTTTCTTTAACCTTAATTGATCAGATCCCGTAATGCAAATAATGTGCAATTTACGACGAATTTCTCTACTTATTTCCAGCTTTGGACAATCAACAACCTTTCATTACCTAATACTCTAGACACAGTTTTTGCAGTTTAATTCATTCAATGATTAACATTCTTAGTGTCTCAATATTAATAATAAATTCTCGAGAGGGACGTTAATCAACAAACAAACAGTGCCCGGTCTTTCAAACACTATGTTTAGTACCATTGGCCTAGTTTTGTCTTCTGCTTTCACAAAGTTCCGCACATGTTCTTTTTTAGCTCGTCCGTCTGTCTGTAAACAACTTTTCAAAATGCTATTTTCCCATTTTTGCTCTGATTTCAATACAACTTGACACACTAGTAGACTACACTACGATACATAATTCTTGTATCGGTTTTTGATTTCGATGAACGGTGTTGTCATGGTTACTAAAAATAGAAATTTCTTTGAAATATTTTGAAAATGCTTATACTTTTATAGTTTTGGTCCGATTGCAATATAACTTGGCAGACTAGTAGACTTAACTGAGACTTAACGAAGATGCTTTATTTTCTATATTGGTTTTTATTTCGAAGAATGCTAGTGTTGCCATGGTTACTAAAATGGACATTTCTTTTTCAAAATGCTACAGTAACTCCTCCTGTAGTTTTGGTCATATTTCAATAAATCTTGCAAAGAAAATGACTGAACCACTGATCATTTTATTTTTGTTTCAAAGTTTCAAGGTCTTATGTTACTTTTCCTTCGTTATAAGTATAAACCGTTAGAGCTACAATCTTATCTTAGGGTAGGCGCAATACAGTCGTTCTATACAAATAAAAGTGTATGATACATGTATACATAATAAAAAGTGGTTGGGGGAATTACCCAGAAACCCTGGGATTAGATAAATAAATCAGAAAAAAAAACGAAAAAAAACCACGGCTTTTATGACGACTTTTTTTAGGCGTTCAAGAAATTTACGAGATTAAACATCACCTTTTCCGGAAAAAGACTACTATTATATGTCCATTGAGCAATAACGGATGTTATTTCCGCAAGAAACTACTGCGACATGGAACTTATTTTTGTTTATCTTTTCCCCTGTGATGGGCATGTCATTTTCTTTGTTTATATCATCAATACAGGTTTCTTTTAAACACAAATCTTTGCTTTTTCGGGGGATGGGTTTGTCAAAGTAAGATTTTTTTGCAGGCTACTCCTTTAAGATTATTTTCAGTATTTTAATGCTAGAATAAGAGGAGGTATTATTTACATTTAGAATTGTATTTCTCATAATATTTTTTTCGATCGGAAAAAGAGCAACCCCCTCCTCCCCCTTGAAAAAACTACCACTTTAAATTAATTAAATGGTCTTTTG